CCGTTTTAGGCGAAAATGGGTCCCCTAGCGCAAAACACCCGTATAATGGGTGTAACTTTTGAAGGAAGCAAATTGGGCAGATATCCTCTTAGGCTTTTTCATATCTCCATATGACCTATCGATCGGCACATGAACGGGCGAAATCGGATTTCGGCACCTGGGAATGTTCCCTCGTTAGTTGATTTGGCTGGTTTAGACAAAATGTCAAATGCATTTGGTTTCATTCTACTTGTACAAGGTATTGCTATTGCAATTGGTTTACCATTTGTTGGTAAGTAATGAGACAACATTCTCATCCTCTACCTCTAGATCCACGTCATTTGATTTTTCTAACAGGTTTCTTACGTGAAAAAATTGATACATATTTAGTCCCATATATTATTGTTGGTCTTGTTATTGCACTGAGTGGTATAATGCTATTTATTATACCATTTTTAAAAAAGTCAGCAAAACCATTATCGATAACAAAAATAGAAACAGTGGTTACTTCTACTGAAGATGGTGATGGTGATATTGACTATTGTAAATCAATACCAGTTTAGTATTCATTTATGTATTTCGTTTCTAAGTTTCGCTATGTGAGTAAAATGAAATTTTGTGTTTTTAAGATAAAGTAAGGCGTGAACAAGTGTACATTCTATCATGCGCAGAACGATCAATCACCAGAACATCGAAAGACATTCGATTCCATTACATCATTTTTTATCTATGTATAGAAAAGAAAAAAAAATTTTTTTGTATGTATGAAAGAAGAGACCTTCTTCCTACTCATTTCAGACAGTTTTTTGTTAACCTCTGAAGAAGAATTCGAAACCGGTCAGGTTAATAAAATAGAAAAGAACGAATCACCCGTTGTTATTATCTCACAACCGTTCAACCACTACAAAAAATACATAGCCTAAAAAATATCCGTGAAATCACTTATATTTTCGTTGTTACTTATATAGATAAATCAGAGCAAAACAAAAGAGTGAATAAAAGTAGAGCCATTAAATCTTCTCAAAATCTTTAAGGACCCTAAATCACTGTGCTCTCTGTAACTCTCTCTAACCGGTATTACCCCAACTACTATATTGTTCTAAAAGAAAATTCTTCTGTTTCTCTATCATCAGCGTGATTCACCAGTTTTAATTAAAGTAGAGAAGAAGTAGAAAAACCCAGCGGTGGCAGCAGCTGGTCTCGAACAGTATTGTATCTTGCAACACTCTTCGCACAAAAGACCGTCGGAACTATTGTTTTTTGTAAGACAGATGCCGTTTCGACGTCGTACATCGATTCATTTCAGTTTGTACACTTTTATGATCTTACAGTTTTTATTCAGAATTGAATTTAAATTCTTCGGTTCCATTTCATATAAATTTGTTTTTTAAATACAGGAAGAGAATATTTCATTTTATTTTGGATTATCAAAGGGAAAGAGGGAAGAAAAACAAAAAGATCTGAAGGTATTCCTTTTCATTAGAGTTTTATTTTATTTGATCTAATTTTGATAGTGATGTACACATTTTTGCGTAGGTAATTGTAAACATCAGAACCTCCAACCTCTACACTGAAACGATCGAGATAAACGCACTGCAGAGAGAGAAGAAAACAAAATAAAGTTGCGGTAAAATACCTGAAAAAATGTCGAAAAATTTTGTGTTTTCTCTCCGTCCGAAACTTCGTCACTCTATGGGTGAGGATGTAGATGAGGAAAAGAAGGAAGTTCTGATGTCCACAAATCCGAGCAAACACGTCAGTCAATACTGCAAGTAGACCTTTTTCTTTCTAAATAACTTTATCTCCACTATTTGCTGGTTACTCCGCCCACTTTTCTGTATATTTTTTAATATTATTAGCAAAATAGTTGCCTTAAAATTACGCAGCCTTCACGTTTTCGTAGGTCCCGTTAATATAATGCAACTTTAAAAATGACTTAATTATGTCATTTCAGTACACATAGACTATACCTTAAAATTCGTTTTAAAGTTCTCCGCATAAAGATATGGAATAAAATCTAAATTTTCTCCTCTTTTCTTCGAATGAATATGAATAATAACCGTACAGATCATCCTCAACATATTTTTCTTTTCATTCTCTTACATGCAGCTATACTATCGCCTTACATATATTGTGGGATCGTTTTCATCGTCCTTTTCCACTTCAAAATGTTTTCATGATGAGAAAACAATATCTAAACAATTTAGCTACAATCGAAGAACAATATGAAAATGCTTCTCTAAGACATGAGGATTCAATATCAAAAGAAACGGTTGATGAAACACATCTAACTCGTCAAATAATTTTGGTTAAAAATGCGCGAAAACGAAGTAGAACTTTAGTAATAAAAACCAATAAATGTCCTCTTGTTCTAAGTAATCAACTAATAAGGTCCACAAATGTTTAAAAGTGCTCACAGAGTACATTATGTATCGTCATACCAAGCATATTGTTTTCAGAAACAATGAAATGATATTCATGGTAAAGGATTATCTGTATCTTACAACTGAATACAGCGATAAAGTTGCTTGTTTGAAGTGTTTCTTCAAACAACTTCAAGTATCGTTACAATCACTCCAGAAACCGATATTTTGATGGGAAATCGTAAATAACAGAAGAAAAAATTTCATCCAACATAATCATGAGCATTTATGCATCTTTCCAAAGCTTGTTCCTTAGTTCTTTTAAAGTAGTTACTGTGACAGATCAATTTAATATATTATATCTTCAAGTTGCAGTGAATAGGTAAGCGATAAGTACTAGAGAAACTAATAACAATGAAATTTCTGATATATTTATTTTTAAATTAGTTCACAAAAACATCTTTACTATATGGAAAATAAATTGAGAAAAAATCAGAACCATAATATCGTCTTTAACCATGTAAATAGCATAAAAAATTTAACTAACACAAAAATACAAAAATAAATATTTGAACAGGTGAGGTTTCTAGAAGTCTAATAAAAAATCTTCGAATTTAAAATCAACGATTCTTTGAATTTGTTTCTTTATTTTCAATTTTGGAAACCGTGATTTTTTTCTTAGTTCGTCATTCAGTAGATCATGTTGTTCTTCATTAAAGTATATGTCACCGACAGAATAGATAAATTCTCCAACATCCAGGTGACATACATGAGCAATCATGTAAGTAAGTAATGAAAACAAAGCCACTTTAAATGGGACCTCGATATAGAGATTAGATGAACATTCGTAAACCAAACATGATAAAGTACCATTCGTTACATTGAATTGACATAGAATATCACCTAAACAGAAATATACAATACAATAAAGAGATAATCATCCTCTTCTGCAACTGGATAGCTATTTCTCTGAAATCTAGAGCTTTCGTTTTGCATTATTTAATTCTTATTCTTGTTTGTTGTCTGGCTACCAAACTTTATTTGGCTAGAAAATTCTTCGCCTCGAAGTTAAGAAATACGTTAGTCCTCCAGTTTAATTATCTCGTTAACTTTGAAAATTTGATTCTAGTTTCACAGTAAAACTAAATATATTTATACAGGATGGCGAATATGACTTGTAATCTTCTCTTTCCTATCGTTGTTCATTAAACCCCTCCCCATAATAGAAGACCATCCCTTATTAGAAGATCGCTGTCGATTGTATGACCTGACAGCCAAATAGAAGACCATGGCCTTCTACAGTTGAATTATTAGCAAGCGACAAAATTTGATTGCAATAGAAAGCCATTCTTTAGAGATCGACTTACGGGACAAAATAGATGACCAGGTGGTCTTCTATTATCTGAAGGGGGGAGATAACAATCCAGCAGACTTACATGGAAGAACAAACGTAAGAGGTACATCTTTGACATTCCAGCCACATATAATTAGACGATGTGAATTTGGATCAGCTTTAATTAGACGAATCAAATCCTCTAGATCGTCCTTCTTCCAGTATGTATAGCCCACTTTCTTGCTAATCTTTTGTAAATTGTTAGAATTTTCAGCGTCCATCGTTTTTTTCTGGTGAATCATTGGATTTCTACATCCATTTGCAACCCATAATAACTCTTTAATACAATACCATACATCGTAGCAGTGAAAGTTCAGCAGAGGAAGTTCTGATGTACGTAAATTGAAGTGCATATTGGACGAACTAAATAGTGATTTTACCATAGTACCATGTTCATCGGATTTAACAATACCAGTATCGATGACACAACGAATCAAGTTGAAATATTGGTGATTATAACGATCGATGGTGTCCATCTGCCGTAACTTAAATAACGGTGATTCTTCAGTCTAAAGAACAGAGTTGGTTACTCAAACCGAAAGAAAAAAACTCTTGATCTCTTTTCATTTAATAGAATATGTGCGACAACCTTACCTGGACATCTGGAGTTTCTTGTCTTTTTTCTTTCGGTGATCGTTGTGGTACAGCACACATTTGAAAGAAACAATGGCCGGTCGTTACTAGATCGATAACTGACACAAAATATGCACCAAGAAAGACATACTATAATACAAAGATATAAGTCATAATGTTATAGATCTTTCAACATAGTGGCAGCGGTGAGTTTTTCTCATTTACCATCGTATTCAGTGCAATGGTTTGTTCAATAGCTAGCATGTCGATAATTACTGTTTCTACAGTAACTGATGCGCTAAATAATGAGACATGGAGAAACAGATTCTACAAAATGAAAAAAACATTAATTCTGGATGACACCAAGCAATGCGTTCTATAAGGAATGTGTAAAAACGTAAGCTAGCATGTCGATAATTAATTAGTACTTTCTTAGAAGTATAATTATTATAAAAACATCTTCAGTGTGCTTTCTTCGACATATTTTTGACGCGAGAGTACTTCTGATGCTCAATGGATATTTCTAACATAGAAAGATATACAAAAATCGAAAAAAGCGCTCCCTTTCATAAACTTCCATGAAACAGTCTATATTAATGTTTTTAGTAAGGATAAGTTTACATAAAGATTAGAAATCTCAAATAACTCGGAGAAAACGTCATATTTTAAAATAACATCAAAAACGAAGTCGAACTGTAGTTTTACCGTTTCTGAATAACGTCAGTTTCTGATAGACGAACTGCACCAAAGATTCCCCATTAGAAAAGCGAAAACTGTGTATAGAGTTGTTTTATGGTGAAAGGGTAGCGTCAAGCATGGATTAACTTTGATTTGTTACTTACGACATAAAGAATGATCGGTCGACCACTTTGGTATCCAACAACCACCAGTGCCGATCCAATAGTACGTAAACATGATAAAGCTCCCACTATAATGTGTGGAATGAACAATTTTATAATTGTATTTCCAGTAATTCCAGTTACGATGAATGCAGCCACAAATAGAACCTGAAATAAATTGAATACAATAAACCACCCAGGTCGTAGGAAATGAGACATAAATGAGACATGTATAGCTCATTTATGATATGAAGTGAAAATGATCATATTATAATCCTAAAATGATTTAAATATGAGCTTAAAATGATATCATATTTGAGTCATTTTAAGACCATTTCATAAAATGATATAAAGATGTTGTATATATGATATAATTTGTAAGAATGATCTAAATATGATCCTAGTATGATCATCTAAAAATGATCTATTTATGTATCATTTTTATATCATATCTCTAGGATCATAGATGTGACATTTATGCGTCA